ACTCAAACGAATCGTAGCGAAACGATAGAAATTCATAATGAAGCAATAAAAATTCACGGCGAAACGACAGAAATTCATGGTAAAACGATAGAATTTCATGGCGAAATGACAGCGAATCATGTCAAAACGATAGCGAATCATGGCGAAACTATAGAAATTCGTGGCGAAACGACAGGAATTCATGACGAAACGACAGAAATTTCCGGAAAAATGATGGCCAGCAGCGAGCCTAGAGACTAGACAAATCGACGCGTCATCGAAACTCTGGGATACGTGGTTAATCGGTACCCTGTGTAAATTTCTTCGCATGTTGATGGACGACGTGCACGGTGATTTATCCTTACGGTAACCGGTACGTCGTTTTATCGTTAGCCGCACGAGATTCTTCCTGATTATTCGCCTAGTGCAACCGATGTCGAAACGATGATGAGAACCGTACAGGTAAAAGTGCCTTTCAAACGTGTTCAACACTGTGTTTTCCGATACACCTGTACCGATCATCTTCTCGAAAGTTGCGTGTTTTCTCGATCCGCCTGTCGAGAATACTCCGGAATCGCGCTGGGGCAAATGGAAAATTTGAAACATCGTGCTAAGCCTATTTTACTTTCGTGTGTACCACTTGTGAACTTTAACTTCGCTTTCGTCACTTTGAGGATAAACGGACTGTGTTATCCGTTTCAGGATTTATCTTTGAGAAATCATTCTCGCGATTAGCTCTACGAGACTATAGTTCCCTGACAAATGTACGAGCTATCGAGCCAGTTGCAATACCCAGATGAAATCATCGGCAATTAATTTTCTAAACCAATGTCAGTCGCTGTAATCAGCATCAGGGTAATATCGATGGTAGCAGCCAGGTCTGATGATGGACGAGTTAGATGAAGGATCTGAAAGGAGATCGGCGATGCACGAGCGACAAATTTTTCCGATTCGCAAGGTTCCCAAGCAGTGGAACGAGTCCGAGACGCAAAATAATAGTGTCAAGGTACAGTTATCGAGTACCTAGTCTTACTTTATCGGATTTATTTCTTCCCCCTGGCTAGAAACTGCATCTCACGTCGTTCTCCCGGCTTCCTTACACCGATCTGCGCGATTTCGTACGGACAGTCGAGCCAATAAGACACGATTTGTCAGCAGAATCTTCGTGCCCCGTTGTCGAGTAAAACGGATGATAGGGGATTCTCTTTATGGACTCGTTGAGAAACGTTAACCTTTCGCACTTTGACAATTTTCCGTATTCGATCTATCGGCTCTCAGATTGCGACACGCTTTTGTGTTATTTCTTCGTTTTCTTTGGAAGAGAAAAATAATACGACTGTCTCTCACAGTTTATTTGTTCGACAGTTTCATTCAATTTTTTCCTCACCTTTTTTCCTCACCTTTGTCGGTGCACAGAAAATTAATCCTTTGCACTCGGGAGGCTGCTGAGCGTTTATAACGCAAAGGAACGGAGGAAAAACTGCATAGATGTTTATTAAACGGTTAGAACTGACCTGTTTAGGTGACCACAAGGGTCACAAGACGGCTCCAGAAAACGGGAGACAAAAGACAAAATGCAGAGGAAGGGATAACTCCCACATTGCCAAGATGTAGAATTTATTTTACTATTTAGTTTTCACTACAACAGAGGCCACCCTCAGTCGTCATTTAATCAGACTCTAAAAATGGATGTTAATTAATACATAAAATTAAAAATTACTCACCAATGCGTGGAATATCGAAATAAAATAATTCTACCTCCTTATTTGCATACGATTTCTTATTTACCGTTTTAAAAATATCATCGACCTTATGGCAGAAAGTGTTCGAATTACTATTTTTAAAGGCAAAAAGGATTAAACGGTAGATTGGAAATTACAACGCGTAATAATGCGCAAAGGCTGAAAGGTTGACCCGTTATTTTCTGAATTTCATCTCGACTCTGTCGTCGTAAACCTCGCTAATGCAAGATCGGTGTAAGTGACTTGAGAATCCATTATCACAGTTACACCGTGTGTCCCAGTAATGGTAAATTACTCTTAAGTGTTACTGAATTGGTCACGGCAACGTTCACGAAGTTCTGAAAGGATTGAATGAATGGATGTGCTCCTCTTATCTTTTTCTACGTCCATGGCGTATCGAGGAAACGATTCTTCAATTCCGTTTTTCACTTTTTCCCGATTCGCGATTAGCTTGATTCCGTGAAGCGAGAATGGCTAGAAGCGAGACCACGCGAAAGGAGAGCGTGAAACGACAAAAGACCTCGACTCGGTTGGCTAGCCAGCATGAAGTTTCATGCGATCGTACTCTGCGTGCACATATTTTTCCATCGACCACCATTATCCTGTAATCCTTTAGCCATGGAACGCTTCTGTCGCGTTCGCAGAAGCTCGCCGCGTTTATCGCGAGTTTTTCTCCCTGTTCTCGAGCCTCTCTCCGGATTAACGAGTCCGCAATTTCTTCGGAAACCGTTGATTTTACATTCGTTCCTCGCAATTACCTCTTATCGCGGGAATTTTAATTATTCGCTTAGCGCAATTAGCGATGCTCGATGAAGGAAGCAGGCTTTGATCCGTTAGGCTGCCATGTCGGCTCAGGTCGACGCTTCATTTTGTTTTATCCCTGTCACTTGGTATATTCGGTATAATTAGACTCCTTTTTAGCTTAAGTACGATCGTATCAACGTATAGTTAAACTAGGAACAGCCTTTGAAAGTGATTTATCGAGTGTGAGTCAGTTAGGATAAAATGTATAATTGGATGTGACGAGAAAGGGATGAAATAAATCGAGAATTCGATTCATTATTAATATTTATTTATTTATTTATTCATACCGGATTAACCCATTAGAAAGATTACAAGAAAATTATTATAGCGAGTATAGGTGCACGAGACAAATTACAAGAAAATTATTATAAATTATAATAATATAAAAATTACTATAGTAACTATGATAACATGGGAAAATAAAAATAAAAATATACAAATATACATACAGACGAGATAATATATATCTGTAAATTTGTTTACAGAGATCTGCAATGTAGTAGCTGTTATATGAGTAAAGGGATTGTCTGAATAGATCTAGTGTTTTGTTACAGGTAATATTGTTACAGGTTGAAAGTAAAATGGATATTTTTAATTAAAATCCATAGCTAAAACTGTCCGAAATATCGATAAACGATATTCGAGGATGTATTTTTAAAGAGGAGATAAATCTAGAATTTTAATTCGGTATTTCGGGGAAAACGTTTCGTTGAATCGAGTATGGAACAATTGCCAGTCGTAAAAATTAATTGGTAATCGCAATTCCGTCGCTTGCTGTGTAATTTATTACATAAAGCAGGCAGGCAAATATTCGATGAGATAAAAAGCGCGAAGAATTATGTTCGCACGCGGAAACAATGTATCGATGCAAATTACCTCGTTTGCATCACTTGGCTCACCTTTATTGCTTCGTGAATTACGTTCTCCAAAAAACAAAAAATACTGCAGACAAGTGGATAAAACGGATAACATTGCACGCAAGCTGTATATCGAAATAAATATCTCGTTTCCAGGAATCGATATAATTATATCACGTAAGTGTGATGTAATTAATGATAAAGCTTGTCTTCGGATTAAATGAATTCTTATAAAACATATGTATATCCTAGTAATAACTTCGTGATGCAAGTAATACAAATTGCATCTTCGAGCAGTATTCCTACTCGAAATAAATACACGTAGGAAACTATGTTTCGACAGAGAAAATTTCTAGAAGAATATTAGAAAACGGACAAAAGAATGAGAGGCAATGGACAGAAGGCGATTAAAGAACCTTGGTGGGAATGTAATTAAATTTATGCCAGCTCGGTTTATTTCAACGCAGTGAGATCATCACGGAAGTCAAGTTTAACCATTCCTTTCTTCGACTATGGCGACCGAACGCAAGAAACGAGATAGAATCTCGAGGCATATGCGTTTGATTAACATAAAATAGAAACGACAGGGATAACGCCAGCAAATCTCGGGTATAATTAGGCTCTGATTGCAAGAAGCACACTGCTTCTGTTACATATTGTATCGAAACAGTGTCGTGCTCGAGTTATCCGGATATCTCTCGTCCCTTTCTACTTCGCGATCAAGATTGCAGTCATAATAACGAATAATAGTAATAATAATTAACAGTGGGTATCATTCCGTATTATTCTATGTTAATCCTGTATTGCGTCTACGAATAATGTTCCACTGGAGTGAATTCCAATTTCCGTGAAAATTATTTTCATTTACAAAGGTTGCTTAGATTTAAGAATGAAAATTGAAGGAGAATTTTGCAAACTGTTTCGAAACAATATGTAACAGAATGTACGCCTATGAATAAATTAAACGATTTGCAAAATAAACAATTTTGCAAGATATCTGAATAACAGCTAGAACACGAATATGTTTCGAAACAATATGTAACAGAATGTACGCCTATGAATAAATTAAATAAATTCGTGTTCTAGCTGTTATCCAGATATCTTTCGTCTCTTTCTATCTCAAGATCAAGATTGCAGTCATAACAACAAATAATAGTAATAATAATTAACAATGGGTATTATATTAAACCTATATTACGTCTACGAATAGCGTTCCATTGGTGTGAATTCCGATTTTATTGAAAATTATTTTCATTTACAAAGGTTGCTTAGATTTAAGGATGAAAATTGGAGGAGAATTTTGCAAATTGTTTAATTTATTCACAAGCGTACATTCTGTCACTTATTATATCGAAACAGTTTCATGTTCGAGTCGTTATCCGTATATCTTTTGTCTCTTCCTATTTCGCGATGAAAATGGCATAATAAGAAATAATAATAATTAACAATGAAATATCATTCGGTATTATTGCATGTTAATCCAGTATTACGTCTACGAATAGTGTTCCATTGATGTGAATTCCGATTTTATTGAAAATTATTTTCATTTACAAAGGTTGCTTAGATCTAAGGATGCAAATTGGAGAAGAATTTTACAAATTGTTTAATTTAATCACAGGCGTACATCAGGCCAAAGAGTACAGCGGTTCAAATCGCAAGAATCGCGGCCGTCACCTTGGTGACTATGTGCGTGGTCCTTGGAAGCTTCATCCTTGCAGCATCCTGGGTCCAAGCTCGGGCATCTTGCACCCCTGAGTCCATTGCCGCTATGCAGGCTGAGCTCAGGTTGCAGCAGCAGCAGCAACAGCAACCATCCTCCGTCTCCTACCAGCAAACCGGATTCTTCAAACACCTACAGCCGGAAGCTCTCATCCAGGTAGGTCCTTGAACACTGTTACAAAAATGATCCAAAATCTCCTTTCATCTATACTTAAAATATTAAATTATTTTGGAAACATTTATTTAGTATTCTAGACTCTGGGAAAATTATTATCTCACACCTGGTAATTCCTGCATGCTATTGGAGAAAATTAAAAACAGGTTTGAAAGCAGTTTCATATTTCAGAAGGGTCATCAAAGAATGATTAAAAATATTTTTCTGTACACTGTATCTTGGATTTTACTTTTTACAGAATTGTTTGAATTTTGATAGGTTAAGTTAAAGAGACGAATTAAGTTTTCGTTTATTTTGTTAACGTCTTTGATATAATAACTGATTTTCCTAGGAAGAAAGTTTCCCTACGCTTTTCAATGCAGAAAGATCGTGCTCGCATGATATAATATATAGATACGATCTACCGATCTGACTGAAATCGTTTCTCCTCGCTTAATTCCTAGCTCCATATTGAAAGGAATTTCCCATTGCGCAGCAAGCCAGCGAACAAGTAGAAAACTCAGAGAAACGGCAGTTGCGAGTTACATTTTACCTTCTAAACAACATTATTCCTCCACGCTTCCTCGTAATACTTCCATTAGCTCTAATAACAGTGTAACCTTTGCGGATGTAAAATAGCGTGGAGCTCGATAAATGGAACGAAAGGATCGTCCGAGGAAAGAAAGCAAGAAAGACGTTAAACACGGTTCTGGTAACGTAACATGGTACTCAAACACTTCGATTTGTACGTGGAAGTGAGAAAAGTAGGTATGTCGTTCCCTCTTTACTCTAAAAATGCGTTTCCTGTGTAAAATTTCTACGCGGCTAGGCAGAGCCTGGTGTATCCTATTTCGCTCGACGTTCAAGGCGGTGCCAGCTTTCGAGATTTCTAACTTTTCACCGCAATTTTAGCCGATCGTGAAGGATCGATGGCGGATCGATCGTGATCCTTTCCAGTCGAGCGGAGCCGTTTGAGTTTATGGTGAAAAGCGAGGAAGGGAAACGCCACGGGAACGGCGATAACACGATTAACGCTATGGTGCTGAACAAAGGAATCAATTTGCTTCATACGGCCAAAATGCTTGGAAAATACGAACTCTCGAGATGCGAGGAAGCTTTAAGTATTCAGTCAAACAATCGACGAGTTCCGGAAAGCGGATATATTCCCGTTTGGTGCCTCTCTTTCGTGGCGTGCCTCGATTATGTGAATTTGTATGAACACTGTGGAGGAAGAGGAAGACTGTGGAGGATGATATATATATTTTAATACTATTGTGGATAGTAATATATACAGACGTATTTTTATCTTCTGCTCTACTGTCTCCTATCTGTTACTCTGCATGTATTATATATCGGTAATATATAGTAGGTCACGAAAGTATTCGAACGTTGTACTTAAAAAGAATTGTCTAACTTAAAATTCCGATTTTAATGCAACAATTGCTCGTACAGTCATTCCTATGTTGGCAGAAAATGACGTTGAGGGGGTAAAATCAATAACTACATTTTTAATAATTTTTCGAAAGGATTCTCTGACTCAAAATTCTGATTTTAATGCAAGAGTTGCCCATACAGTAATTTCTTTGTTGGCAGAAAATGACAAGGAGGTAAAATCCACTATTAAAGTTTCGATAATTTTAAAAAAAATTCTGGAACTCAAAATTCTGATTTTAATGCAAGAGTTGCCCATACAGTCATTTCTTTGTTGGCAGAAAATGACGTTGAGGGGCTAAAATCAAGAATTGAAGTTTTAACAATTTTTGAAAAGAATTGTCTAACTCAAAATTCTGATTTTAATGCTAGAGTTGCTCATACAGACATTCCTTTGTTGGCAGAAAATGACGTTGAGGGGGTAAAATCAAGGACTAAAGTTTTAACAATTTCTTAGATTCTTAAACAGGATGTCACATACAATTGGGGAAATTTTTATTATAGAGTAACAGAGGACCAAAAGTTAAGTATTTTTTATTCCAAAAATTTTTCTTTATCTCGTTATATAGTTACATTTCACAAAATTGAGACCAGACTATAACTTTAAATAACGATTTCACCCACGTGAAGTAATATCTGGAAATAGAACAAATTGAACCAGGTGTAACAACGTTATGCTTTATGTACACGTATACTTCCATTAAAATCAGAATTTTTGAGTTAGAGTACTCTCTTAAAATTTGTATAGCATTCGAATACTTTTATGAGCAACTGTATATATTACTGACTTTTATGTCACGTAATATGTTACTGATATATGATAATATGATACTGTATATACAGAATGAATTATTCTGTATATATTTCATATTTTATACAAAATGGATAGCTCCACTTTTTGAATCTTTTCGAATTTCAGTGTCAAAGCACTCTACTCATTCCTTTAATTTCTTGCATTATATTGTATTTAACATAAATTTCTATTATACTTTTCCGTTCCGTGGATTTAATCGATTCGCTAAATGAGTAGCTCTTATATGCCATTTTTTATATTCTATACATTTTTATACATCTATTTTAATACTTCGATGGCTATTAGTATTGACATTTCAATGCAATACGATCGGGAAGTAGAGATCTAAAGATTGAAAGGAACAGGCCTTTTAAAAATAGGTGATAAATCCACAGAAGTTTCATAAGAGAAGCAAATAGGTTTTACTACCGTCCAAGAGTGTGATAAAAATGCGCATCTAATCTCGAAGTCAAATAGAAACACGAGCCTGGTAATATTGAATTATTTCGCACGGTAATGATTATTGAATTTTAAAATTGCTTTATCTTAAGAAGCAGAAAATACGACTCGTCATGTTCTCCACATTTGGTGTTCGTACGAATCGTTCATTTCGAAAATACAAATTCGCAGTGATTGATTTCTAAATTTCACACGAGGTATACCTCGTCGGAGGATCGGTATCGCGCTTGAATAATCGTGCATTTACAGGAGATGCAAAAGTCAGGTAAAAGTATGTTTAAAAATGAAAGTGAAAGTCAAATGAGAAAGCGGAATAGTTATTCCTTCGCTGTGCAGGAGTTTTTCAATAATAAAGCTATACGAAAGAAATCGATAGGGGCTAAGAATCAAGCTGAAAGTTAAGATCGGGCATTTCTATTATTTTCAAATGGCTAATATCGGGTCATTCCGTAAGTAATACATCCCTTCTCCCGAAGAAAGGTGAAACGAGCGTTTCAGTTAAATGATTAATCGCCATCGCGTTTTCTTTCATTTTCCGCGCAGCTCGCCATTTATCTCTCGATCCTTTGATCTCTCTGCCAAAAAAGTTGCCTTATTTTATTCTCTTGTTTTTAGAAATAATCAGGCCATTCACCCGGCAACTTAATAGCGTCGCTTTAACGATTAATCTTCATTTAACAATTAAATGCAACTTCAAATAGGGAAATCATTTATCTATCAACGCTTAGATTTCTCTTCCCCCCAAAAAATTCCATTCCCCAGTTTTTAGAATAATCTCGCAAATCAGAGTGCTGTCTTGACAATTAATCTTGCCTGACGGTTAATCGATCACCTGTCCAACTTGAGTTTAATTCTAATTGAATTTTAATTTAATTTCGAGAAGAAAGGAAACGCGATTTAAATTGTCACCGGTGTTCCTTGAAATCGCTTGGCACTAGCGAGCGTGCATATTAATACGATCGAGCAGTTCGTGGGCTGCTCGATATGAATTTTAATGCAACACTGAAAACACGCCTTTTATGATGAGACAGCAAAGAAGAATCGCTTCTCACGGCACTCGAAGGAAAGAAAGGATCGTGCCCGATCTATGGTCACGCCCTTCTTTGTGGTATTCGCCTCGATATTACCGGCAACAACGAACTACCGTGATTTATCGTGATTTATTGCGAATTTTTTCATTCCCCAAGCCGCAAAACCAGATTTGTAGCACGGTTATTGCTCTATTGGCTAGTCGATTTTACGCGAATCGCGCTTCACCTGATATCCACCGGTGATTAAGTTTTTCTTTGCGCAGTGATTGTAACATTTTTCGCGCGTAAACGCGTGAAAGCTTGCGAATACTTGCGGATTTGAAACACGAACAAGGAAAAAAGAAAGAAAAGAGAAATAACGTGAAAATCATATTATCTATGGAGTTACCCAATATTAATAACCACTGTGTACATCTGCGATATATAAATAATTAAGCAATGAACGAGAAAAATAGTAAAACAAGAGGATCCAAGAATCAACATTCCAGTGCAATTTAAACTCGTTATATCCTCCACACTTAGAACCACGAGAACATCGATTCCATCAGCATCTCTCACGCTTCGATCTCCGACAGATTTACTCTGCGTCGCCTCTAAATAACCAATCAGTCGGTCGATCGATAAAAATAAAGGGGAAAAATAAGGATCTAATTTGTTTTCCATGCGATTAATCGCGGAACAGGAGTACTCTCAGGGAGAGAATCGATGAAGCACGACGGGACTCAATTATTCAGCATCGCGCGTTTCGAACGGACGTCGGAGACTTCAATGCCTGGTACCGATTAATCGTTGCGAAGACGAGTCGTCGCGTTCGCGGCTACGCGCTTTCCCCGCTCGTAAATCGCCTGGCTTTCGTGGTAACCCCTTTGTATGCAAAGGAAAGACGCGGAGGATTTATCAGTAGGAAGGGAAGGACGATTAATTCTGCATCGAACGACGACGGTGAACGAAACGCGCAGGAACGGTGCTCGACGGTGCTAGGAGCTGCGTTCAAGGAGAACCGCAACAGAGGATTACGTAATCCGGGTTACGTTCTTCCATGTTCGAATGATTCGAGCGAGAAACAGGAAATCGCCTTTTTGCCTCTTTCCACTCGCGAATCTTGCCACTGTTCCGTTTCAAGGATTTATGGACGATCATTCAACTCGTCCTAATTGGGAACTGTAATTCGTTTCGTAGTAGGAATTTTGATTGCGTTCTTGCATTTCTTCGTTTTGAATCGGGAACCGTTAATTTTAGGAACATATTTTGCAATGGAAAATTTGAAGACGTTGTAGGTTACACAAAAT